ATAACTTCCCAAATAACCTTCAAGTCCTTGGTCTAATATCCATTGTTGGTTTGGGTTTTGTTTTGCCTTTATGGGACTTGCTTCCTTAAACTGAGGGTGAATTCCAGGCAGGAAATTCACAGAAAACATCTGTATTCCCTTACCACCTGAGCTTGACTGACTCCCTCCTTCACTCCAGGATGCAAAGTCCGTTCATAGTGATTAATAAATGCTGCTTGCTTCCCAAAGCCAGCATCACCTTTATTAGGTTTGTTCCTTTTTTGGCTGTGCATTCCCCAGAGGAAATAATGGAGAATGGGCTTGAAGAACTTCTACACACAATTCAATGTGTTCATTGAATGTGACAAGCACAACAGTTACTTGTATTGGGAGGGAGTAATATAGGAATTTGATTTGGAAAATATAAAGATTAAAGAAATGGCCTGGCACTGCAGGGAAACTATTTCTTCAAGGATCCAGTTAAATCAGACAACATAAAACAATCTTATTTCTAAGGCATTAAAAGGAATGAAAAAATCAGAAGTAAAACAGTTGCCTGCTTTCTAGGATGTAATTTTGCTCAGCAAGCTTCGAAAATAGAAAGAAAGGAAGAAGTTTAAATGATTCACTGAATAGCTCCGTGCCATCCTTTACAATTTCCTCCATCAGTCTGAAGTCAACCCTGGCACTGTACAAAAGGACACCACCTTTGGAACTAAAGCAACATAAAAGTGTTGGAAGGGTTTGAAAATCTCCCCCCTGCCAAGTCCTGCACTGCAAGTCTAAGTGTATTTAAAGAGATGCAGAGAGGAAGATTCACTACGTTTGTTTCCCCTGTGGGTCTTTCCTCAAGCCTAACAAGCCATAGGACACGTGAGCACACTTGGTGCTCTGCTGCAACCCATAACATGCGCTAGCCCCATTAAATGGTCACAGGTGTTTCTGGGCCATGAGACCTGTCATACAGTCAGAAAAGCTGGTCCCCAGCTCCTGTAGTGCTCTGACAGGTGACACCAGCCAAGGGACCACACTCTCACACACCAAAAGGCAGGAGGGACTCCATGGAGATAGATGAAGTTATTCCATAACCTTCTTAAGGTCAGCAGAACTTCACCACTGGGAGGCTCTCTGCCAACACAGAGAAATATGAGGGTCTGAAACAGGTTCTGAGTTTGCAGACTACTAGAAAGACTTTCAAACAGCAAGACATTGGCAAAATCCTGACAGCAAGCACTGACAAGCAAGTATCTGATATAAACTGCAGTTAAATTTACTAGTATTATGATCAAAAATAGGACAAATCCCACAAGGAACTTCCTTCCCCTTCACTCCTCCAGGGGATTTAGGTTGTCTGCATTAGGTGTGCAGGAAAAGAAATCGGTAAAAAATAGACGCTGTGATCAATGCACCTGACAAAGCCGAAACCAGATGGGTCTTTCAAAACCATAAAAAGATTAGTCATGTCATAAGCTAATGAATTTGGAAAAGATAGAGAGCTTTTCAGACAGCCCAAACCAGCATGCTGAACTTAAACCCGTTTTATAATAGAACAAGAACATTAATTTCCCTTTTCTGCTTTAACTTGCTCTGTTGTTTTCTGTTTCAGGTAATAAATTCATCTTCCAAACTGAGGAAAATTGGAGATGGTCCATTATTTCTCTGGTTTCTCCCATGCAATTGACAAAAACGATGAGTTATACCTGCCTTGGAAGTATAAATTGTGACCTTACAAGTGATGCTGTATTCGATGTTCAGCTAAAGTTTGATTCAGCCATTGTCTGGTTCCAGTTTCACACCAAGATGACTCCCTTAATATTCCTTCATGTCAAGCTATGATACCTTTTTAATTACTCTGTGCTGTCAGAGCAGCACAAAAGTAGAAAATTGGTCAGAATCGAACCCCCTGACTCTAAGATCAATCTGGAGACATTCCCTGAATCCAGCATGGTTTAAGTTATGGCTTCTGAACCAAAGTCTTTATGCAACAGACTAATGTCTGTGCTTGGACCGTGACAAGTGTTCTGTTGAAAACTGGTTTTGGTAGAACAGGAGTGGAAAAGACTGCAAAGAAGGTGACTTTGGACACCCTAAAGGATGCATATCGTCAAGACTTCCTGGAGAACCCAAGAAATGCCCTGAAAAGGCATTAAAAGCACAGACCTGTGGAAGCCCTTGATATAAACACACCAATCGTGCTAGATCATGAGAGCAGATGCAGTACCTTTGAACCATCCAAATCAGTTGTGAAATAAAATGCATCCTTCCTTATGCTTGAAGTGCAGTTTCCAGTATCTAACATCAACAGGCAGTAACTAGCCACTCAAGGTGTATGTCTCAATAACTTATGTGGTATTGGACCCAATGAGTATTACACCAGGCACCAACACTACCATAGCGCATGTATCTGGCAAGCTGGTCTCTACTGGACTTTTTCTGTATCCACCTCCATCAGATTGGAAACAACAATGCCTGTAAGGTTATTATATTCAAGCAACAGAACAAAACAGGTTGAAAGTCTCCCTTATTTTCTAGACCTAAGCAGCTCTCCTCCCTTCACCCAGCAAACTACTGGACCAGAGATATTCTGCATAGTAGGAAGCCATTTTACTCTGAAATAATAGAGAAAGGTAAGGAAGATCTCAGTCCTGTCTTGTGCAGCAGTTGTCTAAAGGCACATGCAGTGGTGATACTTTAGGCACTTGTAGCAAAAAAGCTCCAGATCGCATTGTCACTATTTACACACAGTCCATTGGCATCCATCACCCTGCAGGTCTTTATCCTTTCCGTCAGGAACCCATGCAAGTAATTGTCTTATTGGCATTAAGCACAGCTGGAGAAGTGAGGGGCAATCTGTAGCTCCACAAAGCACTGGAGCACAGCACAGCACAGCCTCCTACAGCCAGTGTTTCAAAGAGCAGCAGCCACACCTTGTGGAAAGATTTAGCATCGCAGGCTTATCCCTAATAGAATCATAGAACAGGCTGTGCTGGATCTTAAAGCTCATCCAGTTCCAACCCCTTACCACGGGCAGGGACTCCTTCCACAAGAGCAGGTTCCTCAAAGCCCTGCCCAGCCTGACCTCGAACATGGCCAGGGATGGGGCAACCACAGCTTCTGAGCAGCCAATCTTGCTATTACTTTTCCATCTTACTGTCTTTTTCCTACAAGAACTCTTCCAACCTCAAGCCAGACACCCCAAGGAACAATATGGTATTTCTTGATGGCAAATGACTCCAAACAAGAAGCTCCCTTCGAGCTTTACTCTGTGGCAGGATAAGCGATAAATTAACAAGGATTTCCTCTTTGACACAAGAAAAAACAAGGATTAAGGGAACAGGAATCACAGGAGTCCTGGGAAGGAGACAAATTCAAAATGTAATACATCTGCCCACCTTAACCCTAAGGAGAAGCTGAATTCACACCTCACATTCAACTATTGCTAATAGTTTGAGTTGCTACAGTTAACAATGCAAGCTCATCTTTGCATTAAACTAGCCCGTGATTAATCTAGCTGAAATGCTCTGCTCTTTTCTACCCCTTTTTGTGCAAGATGTACAAAGCAAACCTGCACAGCACACTGATCCACTGTAAAACTGCAGCTGCATCCACTCAACACCCACTCCCCGACACCAGTTTGGTTCATCACACCACTGAGACTACCCACCAGGGAAGAAAGTTCTAACCCTTGTGGCTGTGTGCTGAGCCCTATCCAATTGTAGGCTAATAGCAGCCTGCAACCTCAATGCTCCTTGAGGACTTTGGTTATTATTTCTAAACACACATGGATAAGAGTTCACAAATTACATCAAGTACAAGATTTCTCATATGTATGGTTAAGTCTATACACAAAGGAACATTCAGAACCACAATGTGGAGTAATCCCTGCTATCTGAAATTGAGGTAGGGAATAAACTTTCTTGTACAACTCTGCTCTACAACTGACACTTTCTTTGCTACCATCTGACACTTCCCTAACCTGTAAGTTAAAGAAAACATAGAGCATCAAAACTCCTGCAGGAGCGAGGCATGTCAAATCATTATTACTGAAGTTTACCGACTTTCTCAGCTTAGTGCAGAAATCAAAAGCCTCATATACCATGAACTTGAACCTTGTTAATTAACTACAGATCTGCTCTGCAATGTGTTTCTGCCACTTACAGTTGCTAATTCACTTAACACTCAGCAGTTGTCCCCTAACCAAGGAGTAGACCTCAGACTGCTTCAGCACTACTACTACTAACCACAGTTAGTCATTTTTTCCACCCACCCTGGCAGATTATATGTAAGGGAAGAGCTCCAAGTACAGGTAAGAGCACACACAGCAGCAACAGCCCTTCTGGGAGAAAGGTGCAGCTATTGGTCAGGCAAGTGAGGGAATGACCTCCCACTAACACTGGCAATAAAAAGCTGTAGCTGGCAATGAGACAATCTTGTTAAACTGTTATTAGCTAACAGACATTATCTGAGATGTCTGCTACTGCCCTAATTAAAGCTGACTTCATCAGAACCTGTGACCTGCAGTCTACATCACTCAAGGCTTTCTATTACAGATAAGTGGCAGGGAGCTTTTGACCAGAGACTGGAAAGTCAAATAGCTCCAGACTAATGATATGAGAGAAACCACGGAGAGAATAGCAAGAAATCTGTCCTGCTATTTATATCAGAGTACTACCAGCTGAAGAAAAAGCTGAAGTTCCACTATTCTTTTACATCCCTAAATACTTCATAGCATTTCTAACAGGTCATGTTTTACTACAATCTTGTAACTCTGAAGTGTTTGAAGTGAGAGAGCAGGAAGTGCAAAATAGAGACATGGCCCATACTGACCTTCACCAGCAAAGCCAGGTCATGAGTACAGAGTCCTCATGTTCTTACCCAGGGAGAAAGCAAGGGTGAGACGATTTAAAGTTTTATATGTTGCTCAAAGGAAAAAAAGTTAGGCAAGACACCATTATGGACTGGAAACAGCAACAGAACTTCAGTTTATTAACATTTTCTACAAAAGTTACATGAAAGACAAGTGCAAATCAAGACTTTTATTTTCTCCCCACATACATAATTAAAAGTGAGTGAACACACAAGACAGGAAGCTGAGATACTACACATACATATGTGACAGTTAAGCTATCAATCTTTTTTCATCTTCAAGATCAAGTCATCACAGAGTTTCAGTAGTTCATCATTTTCTTTAATCTGTTAAAGACAGAAGTGAGGTTCAGGTATTATAGTGAACTGAAACAAGTCACACTTGCCAAATTATGGACTAGAAATTCCATTTATATGCTAATAAAGTGGACTCTAAAGGACAGTCTACTTTGTAGAAGGTCACATGGCACCCTTAAGAGCGTCAGGAAATGAGCCAGAATCCACTACATTGTCTCTACAGCATGGACTTTCCCCATGGTACATGGAGATCAACTGATCAAGGGAAAAGATTTTTCAGACTCAGTCTTTGTTAGATACACTGAAATTCAAGATAGTGACAATTTAGACTTTAATCTTCACAAGACAGACAACACTGTAGGATGCTTTCATACTTTAATGACATGTGGCAATAGTTTATGGTTTGTATAATTCCTTACATGGTCAAACAATTTTAGTAAGAGTTCCTAACATTAAATGCCACTGTATTTAAACAGGAACAAAACTAGTTCTGTGTTAAATGGCTTTTCTCACCTCTCCAGTTACAGGCCTACTGCTGCCTTAGCTACTCAAACCTTAGCCATAAGCCTGAAGATGAACACTAATACAGGGCTTTTCCCTAACAGGAATGCATCAGCATTCTGTGTCTTTGATGCTGGCAAAGATAAACTGTGATGCAGTAAAACTGATAGCATGCGTTTCCAGCATGTGACTTTTAACCCACAAAGTTTTTTCCTTTGAAGGCTTCTAACAAAGGTCTGCTTTTACAAAACATTTGAAGACTTGACCTATGCAATATGAAACAATATCAAATATAAGGATTATGAAATACAAGGATTAACGTCCTGAACAGTATTGAAAGAGTTCAGTCAAGGCAAGTTGGCACTAGTGCCAGTAGCTTACAAATCATGTTTATGAACAAGCTGAACAGACAGTAAGATTTACTCCCAGATTCTGCTCTAGGATATGCTTAAGTTTTAGATCATTATCTCCTTCAGTAGTTTAGCTAACCTCCCTGCAGTAGCCTGGATTGATCACTTCTGCAGCCCACCTATGGGAACAAACCTTTTTCAGAAACAAAATGAAGTCTAAACATACAGATGAGTTTTGACACAGAGTTATGCCTTAAGTTTCAGTGTCTATTTCCCAGCAGCTATCAAAGCTAGTGCAGTTAGTGTGGCTATTTCTGGCACTAGTACAAGTTAATTCTTGACCTAGTTAGTCTTAAGGCAATACATTAAAGAAATTCACCCATGGCATTGACCTACCTTTTGTTCAAGGTTCCCCTCTAAAGTCTGGTTCTTCGTTTGTTCTTTGCGGAGACTGGCTTGTAGCGCTGTAGTCTCTAATTTAGCTTTGTTTCTTACCTGGGCAATTTCCTCATTTGCTCTGAAATGGAAGCAAGATGGTAATTATATCCTCTTCAGACAGCACAGCAAAATAGTTCATGGAATCACACTTCGGATTAATCCCCAAACTAAAAAGGTTTAAGCCAAGTTTTGGTAACAATGAACAACATTTTGCAGCAAGTGTGAAAACCATGTACTTCCCTCCCAGTACCTAGCTTCCTGACATGGTACTTACCGAAGCAGCTTTTCTTCTGCATGTGCCTTTAGTGCCTGATACCTCTGCTCTTCTTTTTTAATTCTAGCCAGATAGTCTTCGGCACATTTTTTCAGAGCTTCTTCATTCTGCCCCAAAAATCCAAGAATCTTAGTTAGCTTTTTATGTGCTAGTAGATGGAAGGCTTTCCACAAATGGGCTACGTGACTACACCAAAGTGTCAGTATTTGTATTTGCTCATCAGAATAACAGGAACAGCTGTGAAAGCCCCACAGACCTACACAGAAACTAAAGCTCCCCCTTTCAACTGTCTTAACTTCAAACAGATTTATTTACCCCATTTCCCTCCCAGTACACTATTTATTTAGTAGCAAACTTTAAAGTGGAAATGTTACTGAAACGAAAGTCACCAATCGGTTTTGCATATTCTGGGTTTTTGGGGGGGCTGGAGAGGAGGAGATCAGGTTTAAATAAAGAAATCAGCTTTGTTTTAGCTTGCAATTGTCCCAAGAACAGGTTGAAATCCAACTACTTCAGAGAAACCAAAGAAAGATTCAAGCTTTGGACACGGATGTAAATTCATCCATTAACAGCAAGAAAGTTACATTGGTACATAGACACTATGGCACCTTACTGTACTAGCTATGATGAGAGCAAGTTGAAATGTTTGAAACAAGTGCTAAGACACCGTACTAATTCCAGCTCTTGAATTTAGCAACAGTGTTCTCAACTGACTATTTAACCCAGTGCTAACAGAACGCTTTCTGAATTTAGGGTGAAGAGCTGGAGACAAGATGAAGGAAGCATGACATTTATTAGTGAAGCAGAAACTTAACTTTTAACACAGACATCATGCCTGTTTCCCAAACGTAGATTGCCACAGAACTTGTAGAAGGCTAGTTCTAAGCCTAAGTAAATAGGGGACATTAAAAGGATAACTGAGGGAAAAATTTCAAAGGCATTTTTAAACCCTGACTGGATCAGTTTTTATTCATTTCACACAATAAGAAACCACAGCTTAAGTCCTACTCTGAAGATGCTGCAGAATGAAGGCCTGACTTTACCAGGTTGGGTTTGGGGGGGGTTTTAAGCTAAAGAACACCCAAATATTACCATTTTGACTTATAATGGCAAATCCTCCTCAGCATCCATTCAACACGTACGGGAAACAAGCTGCCCTTATGCAGCAGTTGCTATGTGAGTCTTTCAAGTCTGTCTCACAAAAAAAGTTATATGCATACATATAATTTCTTCTGTTTGAAGAAACTCTGGCTTCTAACAGGGATCATCATCATACTTTAGGCCAGCCACTAAAAACAAACCAGTAATCTTTAACATCTTTACACAAACAACAACTTAGCACCTGGTTTTACAGGTAGTGCCTATACTAGCTAATTAATGACTGCTCTAGAAATGCATCACTTCCTCTCCACTAAGTTTCATTTATCTAGGAAGGACAGGATTTGCATTATGGCATCTTACTTTGCGGTAACCCTCTAGTACTTCTTTCTGTTTTTCAAATCGTTTGAAGAGTTCAGAGAAAGATTTCTCCATGGAGTTAAGATCCGAAATAGCTTGTTGCTTCTCTTCCACTAGCCTCTGAATTTCTTTACTTGAGGTTTCCTTCTGCTTCTGAGCATCCTCTAAAGAAAGTGGAGTTAACTCGTTACAGTCATTGCATTAGCATATATCTAGTTCCATAGTAGAGACAGATAACCCCCACACTTTCAATTCTTCCTCTTCAGCAAAAAAGGGTTCCGTATCCTTTGCTCTGAAAGGACAACACATCTTTGCTTTTAAGGAAGCAGTCATATTGTCTTTATATGCTACACAGTACTGCACACCAACCATTAAACATTTATTGTAAGGTGTTTGCCCAAAGCACTGTTTCTCTTGCAATGTAGTCAAAATACTGTGCTTGTGTTTACCACACCAGGAGCTTCAAATGTGATAGAAGCAACCTGAAGACATTTGCTTTCATTCAATACACCCAACAGCTGGAGGTCCTGGAGACTGGTATAACAAGCCAAACTAGCACAGCAAACTCTTTCAGAAGGTTTTTGTTAACACACCTGAGCTATGCTTCCCATAGGCTTAAAGAAGCATAAAAAAGCTGACATAATATTGTCTCCTTAAAGAATTAAATTTAAGCAAGGCACAGATTTGGCTGTTCAGCTTTGAACTAGCAGAATAGACCTGTACAAGTTCCACTGAAGGTCTTCCTAGGTTTGAAGCCACAAGCTTGCCTACTGACATCACTTACGTAAGGTGAGATAATAAACAGCCAAGCACAAGGTGCAGACAAGTGGATCTGCCAGTTTTAATAAACACTCCACTGGAGACTAAGAAAAAGCTAGATGTGCTCATGCTTGATTCAGGAAGTCATCATTACCTATCAAGTGATATCATGTCTGTATGAACATAAAGTGTTACTCTAGCTACCCTGCCTGCAGCCTGACACCCTGGAAGCACCTAAAATAATAATGTTATCAGAAGAGAAAGAGTAGTAACTTCAGCTATTAACTTTAGGCTAAGCATGCCCCTGCCCCCATGAACCAAGTTTAAATATGGAACTTACCCATGATTTGTGTTATGGTATTTTCAAACTCAGCAACTATTCTTCTAAAAACATTAAAGAAATATTGAACATAAGTTAGAAAAAGCAGCTGGAATAAATGAGCAGATATAAAAGCCAGGACACATTCATACCCCATTTCCTTGTATTCCATATGAAGCTTGTCATACTTCTTTTTCCATTCCTGAGCCTCCAACTGTTTCTCTTGAACCTTTGAGGGGAAAAAGTAAACCTTTATTTCTTGCAAAGGAAGACATACAAGATTTCATACTCCAAGCAGTCTAAAGGGCAGATTAGGTATACTTAAAACATCATATGCAGAAAAAGTTCTAACTGCTTAACATGATCAAAATCAAGTGTTTCATTATAAATATAAGTCAAATAAGGTGTAGACTATGTGTAGATTTTGCATACATGATTCCACTCAATGTTACTAATACCTCTTCAAATAGCAAGATCAGGGCCAATTCAGCCAACCTCTCACTCATTATGTATGTAGGTCATTGTTGCTTCGTCAGTTATGTTCTCTTGAATATTTATGAGGTATAGTAAAAAAGCCACACAAATCTGCTAGTCTTAACTCAGGAACGCACAAATACCAGACATCTAGTCAAGATCAGATTGCTGTTTGGAGTTTATATTCAACATTCAATCCTCCTCCTAACATATTTCCAAGTTTAAAGGCCTTTGCCTTTATAAAAGAATAACTACACCTATTTCGCATCAGCTGAACTAAACCAGAGAACAGTATTGAGCAGTATAAGCAGTCTCTGCTAAATGCTTGTGCAAACTCCGTACCTCTAATTCTGTCTTAGGGTTTCTATTAAGAACTGTAACACTGATACTTGACTGCAGTGGGAGGCCTACAATGACAACAGGGGCCCAAAATATGTAAAATAACCTGGAATTTTAACCAAAAGAAGGTGAGAGCACATTATTACTGCTGATTTGCCCTTGAAAGTTGCACAGTACAGTGTAGTACACTGATTTTCAGTAGTTAAATTCATTTTAAATGGATTACAACATTTCAAATGACAGGAAGTGGGACAAAGTAAAAAAAGTCTACCAACATATAAAAAGAAAGAATTAACAATATTTAGACTAGAAACAAATGTTACAAAAGCAAAGGTGTGTAAAAATGGAAACTGGTTAGAAACTTTCATTTTCAAACTCAACAGAAATGGTTCAGTGACACAAAGAAGCATGCTTCCATATAGTGCTGTATTTGCCCAGAAGGAAAAGTTTGGGCTTCCCTCCCACCCCCTTCTCCCAGTTTGGGACTGTTTCACCAAAAAAAGTAATCTTATAATTTAGCCTGTCTTCCTTTCAGGTTAAAACAACAAGCATTTCTATTGAAGAGACACACAGCTGGAGTCATTCAGACACACCTGTCTTGCTACAACTATGTTTGTATGTTTAAAACGTATTCTTTGAAATAAGAGATTAGAGCACCAATTTTTAGATATTACAAGCTCTACCCCCTGTTATTATAGAAATTCTTCATTTTAGATCAATGAATTAAGAGTTGTCAAAGGTGTACTTGCTTCTCTGTACTAGACAATATGGTGGATAAAAGTGTTTTCCTAAATAACAGAAAGCAAAAGTTGCTCCTTGAGAAGCTAGTACTGTTGTATTCTAAAGAAAATGAATAACTTAAGCAGCAAATGATCATAGTTCATCTTCATTTCGTGTCCTCAGTGTCACTATGCCTGCAGTAGAACTACTCAGTAATTTTGAATGCTCCACTTTCTTCTCAAGTTAATTTTGAAGTGTCACAACTAGCTTTAAGGACATTTATGCTTAAGTACTCCTCTTACATTATCATTTTAAGGTTACAAAACCCAGAAGCCATAATGAATCAAGTACTGCAATTTTTGAAGCGAGTAGATACACAACTCTTCTTACATCACTAAGATGATGCAGGTTCAAAAGCAATTCTTATAGTATACAGTATGTGCTTGAAATCCCATTGACTACTTCTCTCTCCTCCACTACAGATTTTCTTCTCCAGAGTGAACTCCAGATCGCATCTCTATTTTATTAGCTGGACAGAGAGATCAATGCACTGAATTGGCATTAATTTCATCTTAAGGAAATAATTACATAAGCAGCTTCTCCCTCTTACTGGCAAGAAGAGAAATTTACTGTCCAGTTTAATAAAGAGCATTCAGATCACTGATACCAAGCCTAGCCATTCCATCTGATAACAGATGCTTTTTAATACTGCCCAGTTCTAAGGCAGAACCTAACTACTAGTGAAGTTTACCTACCATATTTCCCTAGATATTGCCTCTGAAGAGTTCCAGAACAGGCTGCCCAAACAAGCTGTGAATGCTCCATCCCTGGTAGTGGTCAAGGCCAGGCTGGACAGAGCTTTGGGCAACATGGTGTAGTGTGAGGCATCCCTGCCCATGACAGGGAGGTTGGAAGTAGATAAACTTTGAGGTCCTTTCCAACCAAAACTATTCTATGATTCTATACGTGCTGCTCCTATCAAGTGCACATCAAATTCTTCTGAAAGAGATACTTATGTCAAATATCATAGAAAGAATTACCAGGTATAGAGATTTATACCAGATAATAAAAACAAAAGATACTTTCAGGACTATGCAAAGTTTTGCTGTGGAAGGGTCACCATACCTCTCTCTTAACCAGTTCAACAGCTGCATCCATGTCTTTTTGGCTGTATTTTAGCACATCTATAATAGCATCCACTGCAGTGTTTGCAGAAGCAACAAAAGGGAGTGAAGGATCATCACTAATCAGGGCACCTGGTATTAAGGGACCTGTGTCCTGTGAGGAGAGGAAAGGAAATGTAAGAGTTTTAATAAATTCCTATTTTCATGCAATTGATAAGCTGCATGCAGATTATTCAGTGTTAACTCAATGTATTTTACTTAGACATCCAAAACACCTCCATAACTGTGTTACCAGAACTTCCTTATTTTGTAGGTGTCTTTTACAACTACGTAGTTATCTTTAAGGTATAATAAACTGCTATCTGGCAATTACATCTATCAGAAACAAAAGCAGATGACACCACAATGTTCCCCAGCAGTAACAGAAAAACTACACAATTTTCAGGATGAACTGCTATGTGCTGATCTGTTTATAAAAAGCTTTTCAAGCTGTAAGTTGTAGGCTGTAAGTATTTTTACTACTAAAGAAAAGTCTAATAAAAAAGTTAAATTTTGATCTAAGTATCTAGCCTGGGTTTTAAGCTAACAGTTTAAATAAGCATTAAATACTCTGCAATCCTGCAAATATCTATGTAGAAGTCCAGTAATTAGTCTCCATTCCTTTCCTAAAATATCAAAATGAGACCCAATACCATTCCAAACACCCTTACAGAAGTTGTAAATGTCCCCAGAAGATCTATTCCTTTTGTTTTTTCTTCATTTTGAAGACTGACTGCAGGCTTTTCAGCTTTCTCAAGCAATTTACTTGAATCAGCAACAGGACTAAAAATAAACAAACACACACCATTATATTTAAGTCCTGCCTTTTTTTGTAAGGCTCCTGTATCAGCAGTAATGTGGTCAGCAGGGCCAGGGAACTGATCATCCCCCTGTACTCAGCACTGGAGAGGCCACACCTCAAACACTGTGTTCAGTTTTGGGCCCCTTACTACAAGACATGAAGCTGGTAAAGGGTCTGGAGCACAAACCTTATAAGGAACAGCTGAGGGAACTGGGGTTGTTTTAGCCAGGAGAAAATGAGGCTCAGGGGGACCTTATCCCTCACTACAACTACCTGAAAAAAGGTTGTAGCAATGTGTGGTCAGTCTCTTCTTCTAAGTAATAAGTGACAGGACAAGAGGAAATGGTCTTAAGTTGCACCAGGGGAGGCTTAGATTAGATATTAGTAGGTATGTCTTCTACGAAAGCTGTCAAGCACCAAAACAGGCTGCTCAGGGAAGTGGCTGAATTACCATCCCTAGAAGCATTTAAAAGACATGTAGATGAGGCCTTTAGTGACATGGTTTAGTGGTGGACTTGGCAGTGCTGGGTTAATGGTTGGACTCGATATTAACTGTTTTTTCCAATCTAAACGATTCTACGTACTACAGTCTTGACTAAGTGAATACCTACCCATGCTGAAGAGGATCCGTTCTGATATTCATGTTTTTCCCAAGAGTAGTAGAAATTTGTTTTCTCGGACTGTCTCTCAATAGAGGGTCAAACTTCAGATAAAGCGATTGTTTCCTTAAGGCAGACTCTTTGAACTGAGAGGAAAGAGGCATAAACTGGCAGATACGCTGCTTCATAGCATAACACACACCCCACACACACATAAACAATCCTCTGGAGAGAGGGCAAACCTATTCTTCAGTGGTCAGAGCATTGCTCTCAGGAGAAAAATTACATAAGAGAACTCAGTGCCCACATGCTTAAGTCCTTATGTAACGTCAAATGAACTCAATCTGCTCACAGACAGAACCAAAAGGGCAAATATTTATGAACTATTCAAAACTAGCAGAAGGCACTGAAAGGAAAAGACAGTATTGTAAGCTGAATGAGCAGTGTATGTCATCCTCTGTCTTTGCTGTTATGACAATAAGGACAGACCCAGCATTACCAAAAACCGATTTCAATTCAGTGTATTCACTGTACCTTCAGGGTGACTTCTGGACCAAATGAATAACTAAGGAAAACGAGTAACTAAAATGAACTGATCAAAACATTACGTGCCCAAGTTGGAGATAGATTTCCAGTGACTGCCCATAAAACAAAAGACTTTAGAAAACAGTATTTTCAAAACAGTGCTCTAGCACAAAGCATTATGTTCTTGCAGCTTTGGCAACGAGAGATGAAACGTCACCCATCTCAGTCAGCACTATTAAAGAGAAAGAGCACCTTTGCAAACTGAAAGCAAAAAGACCTCTGATACTTAGCTGAATTGTCAATAAAATACATTTCCTTCCATGACCATCCCCTGCCCAGCCTTGCCAACACAAGCCTTTGGAACAGAACCTGTATTTCTGTGCCTATGTTCCAAGTAAAGCTATTTCATGGAAATACTTAAGGTTTGACAGTTTCATTTTCCTTTTCTCTCCCCTCTGCCAGAGAAGCAAATAAAACATTTCAATGTCATACTTACTGATGAAGTCCCAAACTGTTCCAGATAGTCTATTTCAATGTCCATACCTAGAACTAGAAAAGAAGCAAGTGATAGTGAAAATACAATATTGTCACATTGTTTCTGTCTGTGGGTACTTCACTGCAAGACAAATAAGTACATGTATAAAGGAAATAAATCACTGCTCTCATGAGCTCTACTTTTTCATTTGCTAAAAATACGGTATTCCTATCTAGACATGAAAAATTAAGTCAGCCAAAGATGAAGAACTTACAGGTTCCATTTTTCTCCAAATACCTATAAACAATATGTGGAGTTCACACAGTTGAGGAACTTCTGTTGTTCTATGCTTCAAGTGGCAACCACTCAGATATTCTATTCTTTTATACAATGCCCCATAAAAAATGAAAGGAAGATTGGCAATCTTACCATTAAAATTAGCACACAGCTCAGATGTAAACAATGAAGTTACAGCCATTTCTCAATATACCAATTTCACTTTAATATTAAGATAAGTGACAGATTGCACTGCAGTCAAACCATTTGCTCATCCTTCCACACTGTAGTCCTGCAAGGAATAACCCTTCCAGGTGGTTAAGTCACAGCTATGTAATAAGATTTCAACACAGGCACACAAGTGCAGAAAGACCATCCAAACTGCAATATGAAATCAGTATTCAAGTAGTGTGAAGGCCTGCAGCAATCTACAAGACTCCCAAATACAGGCAGTTAGTTGCATAGCTGTAGTGCTCTCCATTTAGAAAGCCCTTAATACTAGAAATGATTTTAAGGAAGCATTTTTTCAACACAGAGAACTACCACTGAAACTCTTGGAAGACCCTCTATCAACCTAAATTTCATCCTTCCAGGCAGCCAAATGCCAGTAGCCAGCTTTTTCAATTTGGCTTAATCCAAAGTCAAAAATACATCTAGATATATTTCCCACTAGTCATTGCAGCCTTTACAGTCCTTTCAGAAAAGCAAAATGAAAGACAAAGTAGAATCAATGTCAAAACTGAAGTAGAGAAACACATACACAGGAGTTCCTGAGCACTATCTTTTCTGTCTGTTTTAAAGAAATGCCCTTACCTTCTGATGACGGTCTGAAGATTTCTTCAGGTTCAGCATTAGCTGTCTGCCCATCTGCTGTTATTTCAGTGCTTTGGGAACTAGGCTTAATTTCTTCTGCAGACACTGACTTTTTTCCACTGTCAGCAGAAATCGAATTGTCTTGAGAGGGGACATTAGCTGAAGACATTTTAGATGGGCTTATTTGCTTTTCCTGATGAGAAAAAACACAATCGTTTTTACTGTGAAAGTAATGATTAAAGACACAATAATGATCAAATCGGTTTGCCATAAACTAGCTGGGCAGCCAACATAATAAACCAAGAGTTTCCAGGCATAGGAACTAAACTACCAACACTGAGTACAGCTTGTATTATATAGGAGTTGCTTTTTTAGCATCCACACCCTTATATTTGTCCTTATATGTGACTGCTGATCAAAAAAGATACTAAATACCAAATTACCAATTTGGCTGTCTCTGATGTTACCTTCAAAAGACTAGTCTGCGCAGTTGATACTCATTCAGAGCTGCTGAAGATGCATAAACACACCAGTTCTTTGTCTTAACCTTGTCAAACCAATGTGCTATACTTGTCTAAGAACTCTGTTTCAAGGAACAGCTCTTCAAAGAACTGGCCATCTTTCCTATACACCTTACCACTCTTGGAAGTTCAGATTCTGCTTGAACTCCTGGCTTGTCCTCTTGAGTTCTTGGTTTGTCTTTTACCACACTCTGTTTGCTGATTTCCCTAAAGAAAAAACAAGCAAACAACCCAAAATCCAAGTCAGACAGGCAGTTCTGAATTATGCAATCACAAATATATACTGAAGCACTGAACAAAGTAAGCTTCTTTGAGAGTTTCTTCTGCCACAGTACAGGAAGCTTTACAGAGGGTGGGGATGTAAATTCACTGCCTTGCCTAGTGACAACTTAAATGACAGAAGGCTCTCCCACCACCAAAAGCAGGGTTATCTGCGAAGCAGAAAGTCAGAGCAATACCACTTATCCCTGCTCACTTAACACGGTTATTTCCATTTGTCAAGCTATTTTCCTACTAAAAATAAGTTTTTTGTTTAATTAAGAACAGACTCTCAAGCAGCCTGCTACTCTGTCCAAAGTAATGCAGTGATTTTTGGTAGAAAACACAACTTCATTAGAGAAAGACAATACCTTATTTACTGCTGATAGCACAAACTTAACTTTTCACCTTGGTAAACAGTAGCTGATCATGTTACACAGAGAGCAAAAGAGCAAACATTTCTGTCAAGTGAACATGTTGTGCCAGTCTAGCTCTGGTAAGCACTGCCTATCTATACTAATGCTGACAATTTCTAGGAAAGGCAACACAACATATCCCACTCACAGATACAAGGTTTTGTGTGGTGCCGAAAAAATGCAGCTTCAGTGACAGGCCTTTTTATTGGAAATAGCATTCAGATATCAAGAACTTGCAGGGAAGAAACAGCACTTCAGAGGGTTCAGCCGGAACACTAAGAGAACAGAACTGCCTAGTCCCTCCACATGCTGCATGATATACAACATTGTTCATTTTGCTCAGTCTCCTTTTTTAAAAGGCAGCAGCAGTCACACAATTCTCCACATTTTACTCTGATCTTGGAGGAGTGGGAAGAGCCACTTGATCAAGACACTAGAAGTCCTCCTATATAAGCCTGCTCCTCCCATTCCTCAGGTTTAAGAACACCTTTTGCCCAGAGCTAGCCATCTTGAGATGGTTTGCCCAGTGAGATTTTTGCTGTTGCAACATGCTGTTAATACAATGTGCAACAGGCTCCACCAACCTCGCAGGGAGGAAGGAGGTAAGAAACAAGCAGTTAGACATACCATCTATCTTTCCCTCACATGAGTTCAAGGTGCTTCTACATTCAGCTACACATTTACTTACAGGTTCTGGGGTTTTCTTTTCTCAAGAGCTTCACTGGTACTCAGTCTGTTATCCTGCTCCACTGGAAGAGGCTCCCTTTCTGCAAAGGTACTATCCTGCTCCTCTTGCAAGTGAGCTTCCTGAGAGCTAGGTTCAGAACACTCAGGTGAGGTGGAAATTTTAGCACCCCCTCCAAATGGATTAAAGTTTGGATCATCAAGTTTGTCCCAGTCAACCTTGTAAGATGCTTTAGGAACAGGGATTTCATCTTCCACATTACTTTTATTTTGTACTTCAGTATTCTCAGTTTTTGGTTTGGTAACAGGACTTTTTCTGGAAGGTGGCTTAATTCCAGGTCTTTTACCTAGCTTCTTAGGAGGTGGCTTTCTAGCAGTGGTATTGTCAAAGTCAAATTCCAGTTTTACTGGTCCAGCCTTGATGACATCAGGCTTTTCTGCAGGTTCCTCTTTGGAGATAGCCAGCTCTTCTGCAGAGGCTTTTTCTGCTACTGAAACATTCTGGAGTTTTGATTCCCCAGTTTTGGAAGAATTTGTAAAACCTGAACTACTGGGACCTAAGCTGTCAGATAATGGTGCAGGTGTAGGTGCTTCTGCTAATTCCACTGATTTACCAGTTTGGCTCACATCTGTGGAAGCAGACTTCACATCCTGCACAGCTTCACTGACTGCTTGCTTAGGCAACAGTACGGGTTTGTCAGACTCCAGCTCTCCCAGGGGAGATTCTTTTCCAGATACAAGTGTCTTCTCTTCTTCACTTGAGCGCTCTGTACTTGCTGTGATTGAATCCAAAGGAGCTGTATCATCCAGCATAGGAGAACCACTACTTCTTTCAGGAGTTATCTCAGGGCTGCTAGATAATTTCACAGGAGGAGACTTCTGCAGCTTTCCAGGAGAATGCTGCAACTGTGCTGAACTTTGAAAAGGATTAATGTCATTTAAGTTATCAAAATCAAGATTGTAGGAACCTCGACTCTTCACTGGCATCTCATCATCTGGGTAAGGAGCTGCACTGACCTTCTCTGGCATTTGTTTGTTTATCACTGCACTGTTTGCTTCAGCTTCAGTCTTTTGTTGACATGTGCTGCATTTAAAAAAAATAAAAATAAAGATATCACACGTACTATAGCTATTATAGGCATCATTTCAAATCATCTTTAGAGAGATGCTTGCACAAGTAGCTTTGCATGCTCAGAGTAATCTGGGGTTATTCGACGTAAGGCAGCTGACAGCAAAAGGATGTAACAGCAAAAATTCAGTTGTCATTTGAATAGTCAGAAGTTATGAGCTCTGGTACACATGAACTATAGGGAGATCAATCCTTGAAGCTAGTCAGTATTCTTAAGCTATCTGTTCTATACAGCTGTGTTAGCTTCTACCAGTCATCACTGGAGACTGCTCTAGTCACTACAGCATATGGACACTTCCATTTCACTGAACAGTGAAATATACATTGCTTAGGAAGCACTATTAACAGTAAGCAGCACAAACACAGGCACAACTAGTATATCTTCATGCAGATTCCTCTATGAGTCATGACAGACTCACAAGTCTGCGACCAAACTGAGACATTATTCAGTTTCTCCCATTCTAGTCATTACTCTGTCTGGTGATTCTGCCAGATATTTTTTCCCTTGAAAACATGCACCAGCATTTCATTTGTGAGGGCCTACATACAAAAACAGAACCTGGACTTCAGGCACTCTAAACTCTGTGCAACTGCAAAACTGAAGAGCAAAGTGGTACACAAGAAAATACTTCTCCAGTTAGAGATTCTCCAGCAGAAGAAACAGGTTAAAGAAAGGGTTTGTGTATTCCCTACAGCTGAGTATTCCACAAGTTACTGCTTCCCACTTTATTCCCCAAACTCTACTCAACTTTCAAGGCTTAGCCTCAGACTACAGAGAGTTAAGCCATTACTTCCTGCAACAGGATTTCCTCCCATTGTTTTCCCTTCGTAAAGTTATTAAAGTTACTCTTACATGCCACCCCTATCTGCTGTAGAACAGAACAAGATTAAAACCATCTCACTAAAAATACCACTTTGATAAACCCGAAAGCACAAGCAAAGGTAAAGAGTTCAGGAAGTCATTCTCACCCGGTTTGAGTGCCCCTTCCCTGCAATAGTTCAGCCCCAGGCTCCTTCAACTAATCAAGCCCCTCCCATTCTCCGCCAGTATTTAACCTAATAAATGCCAGTCAAGAGCAAAACACCTGCTTGAAACTTTAGTCTGAAGTGACGCCTTTCAGCAGCACCCAGTTGTGCAGCTTATGTGCTACAAATTCTTACATTTTAAAAGTAGAAAGGATGTGTACACTGAAAGCAATGTCTTGCCACATAATTATTCCTTAACTAAAATCAATTCCCTGCTAGCCCTTTTAACTCACTTGAACTTTGTATGTACTAAATCTTTATTTATGTGAGCAAGAAGTTTGGGGCATAAATGCAATTAAGCAATTGTGGTGACTAGCTCAGTACTTCTGTAAAATCATGGAAGCATAGAGTAGTTAGGGTTGGAAAGGACCTTAAGATCATCTAGTTCCATCCAAAATAGAGCATACATGTAAGTTAACAGTTGAAGAAAATGTTCTTTAAGTGTTCTTTAATGTTCTTCCCTTCTCCCCCTCCCAAAGCCAAGAATGGGGTCAAATTAAAGTATTTGGTAGCTAAAAAAACCAAACTACCAAAGCTTTGTCTTTTGCAGAACACAAAGCTAAGATCTGAGACTCGCTGACACTGGGAATTACAGGAATCAGATGTTTATACAAGTTTAAAAGGGGCTAAAAAAAAGTCAGTAACATAAATACATATTGAAACTTATTAAATAACACTGTATTATTGTACAATTATAACAATATTTCTACTAAAGCAGAGTTGCAAAACCCCAAACTGGGACACTGCAGAGTTTATGCTTTTCTCTAGACAGCTACCCTGAGCCACCTTAGAGATTCAGCCTACGATACTATAAAGGTGTACAAACTTGTTCATACTTGGGATTGATGTTATCTTCACATTGTGTTGCTAGATTTTCTTTAATCTTAATACTCATTGACTCAAGGTGTCAATTCAGAGGATAGATTTTTTTTTCGTTAAGACAGAAGAAATTTTAAGGCTTAGCTTTAAGGATTAGATTCAGAACAGTTGCAGTGTCACATGAAAACCTTATTGTGGCAAACAGCTTTATATTCTCTACCTAATGTGCCTCTTTTCTCAAACTGTTTATCCATGTCGTAAGTCATCTCCATAAAATCAGTTACTGAAGAGTCAGAAATAGATGTCAGTATTCAATATAACCACCAAGATAATTATCACTACTTCTAATAAAATTCTCTTTGAAAGAGTTTGTGCATCAAAGCCAGCATTAATTTTGGTCCTTCCGTGCAGTTTACATCTTGTTATAAAATACAAGATTACATTTTAACTATACAGGTTTATAATAGGCAAAAATTAACTTAAACATGTCCCACATTACTAATACTACTAGCAGCAACTACATTACTTACTCAGCATTGACGGATGTAGATAAAACATCATCCACCAAGTCTTCACTGCAATCATCAAGTGTAAAAGTAGTGTCAAGTTTGTCCGTCATAGTAGGGCTTAAGATTTTTCGAGTCTGAGGATCTCGTAGAGGAGTTTGAAAGGTTACCTTTAAGAAAGGGGTGGGGGGGGAAGGAAAGGAAGAACATAAATACCACAGTACTTTCAAGCTCAAAATAATATCTGCTTTCAGTAGCAGAAACCATAGGAGGAGAAAGAATATAATCAATATAAAAGCAGAAGTTTACCTTCATAGCTTTTGCCACACTTTTTGGTGGCAAGTTCTCTTTCTGGGACAGGCGTAGAATGGAAGGTCTCCCTGTAGGTTCCGGTGGTACGAAGAAAAAGCCACAGTCTTCCGCTGCTAGGTCATCCTTGACGTTCCCTCCGTTTTCCCCGTTTTCTGCATTTTCTGCATTTAAAATCTGCAGACTCATTCTAGAATATCAACACATACAACGTCGCATGGTGAATGAGGGGGTGTGGTCAGCCAGATGCAATTTCAGATAACAAAGAACTTAGCACAGGCTAACAAATATTAACAGCTTCAAAAGAAGTTTCAGAAGTGCTGAAGCCCTTCATATGAAAAGGTGTATCACAGAAGGCTCTGAAAGCATTTACATGCAGCACTGCATAGCCCTCTCCTTTTGTTAGGGGTCTGAGCAGTTGTTGACATTACACTTTCCACAGTTAGCATTATTTCCTTTACTAATTAAGCTGCCCATCCTTTAAAGGGAGCTCTGTCATTTGTAGGTTCTTCATTCCCAGCCCCTTGGAGCCAGCGGGGACACAGTCATGCCTCTTGTAATGGTGGCATCTAGCTAAGCAAAATTACAGGTTTTGCAAGGGGCAGATGACAATCATTTCTCTATTTTATTCACATGGTCTAGTTACTGCATTGTACTTCTGCAGACATCAAACCCAGATTTGGTTGGTTGGAGTGTTTATGGTCAGAGTGCTGAAAATTATTTAGCTTTTCCTGCTGTTTTTAGACACATAGTACTCAAGAATCCTTTGCAGCACAGACATTACTGGTATGCAAATCTGAAAAAAAATTGTAATTAAAAAGGTATTTCTTAAATACTGTACTTGCATTAGACATATACAAACTTCTGTAAACCATATAGGCTGATTTAATCTTACTGGTATTTCAAGTGTGAAGGATTTAAAACTACAGCCTACATCACAACTAAGATTAAAGATGAAAATAAACTAGAAATAGAGAAAGAACACATTTGAAGTACACAAGGAAAGTCAGCATGTTACAGATACTTGAACTTTGTCTACCTTTTATTCCCATTGGAGCCTCCACTGTTGTTCAAGGTTTAGCAACCAATACTCAGTGATGCCATTGCTGTTTCTTTAAAACAGGAGGCAAAACCCCAAAAAGTACCAGAGCTCAGAAGGCCCGATCTAGGTATAAGCACCATCCATGAAGGATGACCCCCAGAAGCTCAGTTACCTGACACACCACTAACAGAGCAATTTCTTTTGTAAGAACTGATGTGTTACCTTGTACCATCTCTGCAAGATAATCACTAATTGAGTGGAAGAGATGTTGGCTTTCTGCAACGGATAACCAAGTGATCTCAAATGCTCAATTTGACCAAAAAGCTAATCCTTAGCTTGTTTTTATATCCTCCATCATGCAGTCAAGATTAAACAAGAAAATCAGCAGAGAAAGGCTCCAAACGATTGTGTTCATTGTCATAAAGAGGTTACAAGAACACTCCCAATGAAAATTTTAAGTCACATTTTCAATCTCATTGTCCTCATGTATTCAAATTTCTGTATATAATCCTCCACGCACATTTCCCTACTCTTACATAAATTCTTATGGGAAAGTTTGCTTTCTACTCTTCACTGAATTCAGCTGCTTTGTCTGCAAGGCATTTTTAATCAGCAGTGGAATGCAAACAATGGCTACAGAAGCAATGGCAAGCAAAGCATGCCCATATTAGCTAGGTCTTCAGTCCTTTACTCTTTATCATATTCATACTTTAGCCCAGGTTAATTTATACATAAAGTATTTTTACATTAACTTGTAGAACTTGAAGTGAACTTTGTTGCTTTCCTTTACTCCAAATCAACACTGAGACAGCAGACCATGTGAACCTCTACAAGCTGTAGGTGTTTGTTGGAGTTACTTTAGAAATGAAGACTAGGACATAAAGTTGTCAACACCTTCCAAAACAAGCTTCATAAGCAGGGGAGGTTTGTTTGGAGGTTTGTCATTAAGCTATTTCTGCACCACTGTAAACCAGATTCTGATCATTAAAATACCCAATAAATTGACACCATATAGACAGACATTTGCCTAGCATTTTATATATTAGAACTAAAAACCAAATGCCTTTCTACAATTAAATCAAAGTAATTTCACATTTATTTAAAACATTCATAATCAAGATAGGATCTAAATTGTATTTCACAAGTTCATTAGCTAGTATTTGTGCTAAGCTGAAAGGGGAAGGGAGTCTTTACAAAAGACATCTTTTTGTTTAAAGAGGTCAGTGGTGATGGTATACAGGTATTGTGAAAGGCAGCAAATTTCCCACTATGGCAAATCAAAGCTCACAAAAATGAAGCTTCTCCTAGCTTCAGAATGATATTTACCCAGGCACAAGCAGCAGTCTTTCATTCTGTATCCAAGAATGAACATAAATTCAATGGCATCAGATAATTAAACTTCTGGTACCTATCATTTGTAGATTGTGGTCTTCATGGCAACTACCTGTTGTTTAATGAGCACTGGGTCACAACATCCTGGTCTCAAATACCGAAATAAGCCACTGAACATGCAGGGCAAAGATGGAATTTTTCTACTTAATTACCCTCTGAACACTTCTACAAGCTCAGATGCACAGCACCTGCTCATGGACAAACTAATAGTATGTGCTGTGAATACTTCCATACAACCTAATGCAGAGCTGGTATGTATATATATATATTCAGTGCAAACATCTCATATGTATATATTCAGTGCAAACATCTCAGTTCAGAAATTTGGAGAGGGACTTTTTGCAGGAGCATATAGTGACAGGACAAGGGGGAAAGGCTTTAAGCTGACAGAAGTGAGAATTAGACTTTAGGAAAAAACTTTTTACTGTGAGGGTGGAGAGACACTGGGAACAGGTTGCCCAGAGAAGCTGCGGCTTCCCCACCCCTGGAGTGTTCAAGGCCAGGCTGAATGGGGCTTGGAACAACCTCGTCTAATGGAAGGTGTCCCTCTCTGTGGCAGGGGGTTGGAACAAGATGAGCTTTAAGGTCCCTTCCAACCCAAAATATTCTGTGATTCTATGAAATAAACACTCTCCTGGTTAACTGACTCATAATCACAACCCTTCCCTGAACAGATCATTTGAGGAAAGGGAATTTGCATCAGTTTTAGCCAAAACCAAGTTCTGGAGGCCACAGATGTGGAGCCCCAGGCCAGCCAATGCCATGAAAGCCCGTTGAGGGCACCAGGTTGCAGCTCATGGCAGAGAAACAAAATATGCCCTTGGCCTTCAGTGGCAGCCAGCCACGAAGGGGCTCCTCCACGCTGGGCTGGAGAAGGCTTTGCAGGCTCTCGGAGGAAACACGGTCACTTCCCATCATTGCACCTTAAAACTATGCTTTAAGCCAAAAAGAACAGCAACCCTCCCCCAGCCCCACAATGCTCCCGAGTCACCCTAGGCCATAGAAGACCCCCATCACTGTCCTAGAAATGCAATGGGGTGTCCTCAACAATCCCCACACCCCCAGACTGCTGGAACCTCCCTCAGCCCCATTAAAGCCCCCAGGTTCACACAAATACCCATGTATATTCCCCTCCCCATTGTCAAAGGGCACCCAGAGACCCCATCAGCCTCCAAACGCACAGAGATGCTCCCAAGATCCTCCTGAAAGCCCCCCTCAACTCCGAGGCGCTGAGCTCCACCCCAGCACCCCCAACCATAACCCCAAGCTCCTAGCTCTGCTTCATCCCTAAACTCACAAAAGCCGTGCCATCCCGTCCGTCCCCCCCACCAGTATCTTGGTCCTAAGAGCACAAAAGTGACCCCGAGACCCCTCGACAGAAGCTGCTCCACCACACACCACTCCAAGATCACAGAGAGGGTCCCCTAGCCCGTCCGTGTGTGCCTATGTATGTGTGTCCCCGTTCTATGATACCTCAAGTTCAGTGGCAGCAATCCAGAGCCTGTCGTCGTCCCCTCCCCGCCCCACAACATCCCCAGGCTCACAGAGGTGGCCCCAAACCTATAGTTGCTGTTTGTGTCTTCCCCTCGTTCCGGCCTACAACACCCCACGCTCCCACTGCCCACCAACCCAACCTTACCAGAACAGCCCTCACCTCCATAGACAATCAAGCTACCACACACACCCCCCCAAAGAACCCCTACCTGCCGACAGGGCCCAGGACCAAGCCTAGGGGACGCTGGATCGCGGCGGTAGGAAGAACCGGACCGACAGAAACCCTGCTCGCTACAACCACCGCTGGGCAGCGCCCCCCTGCCGCCACCACAGGATTTCAAATTCCAACGGCGGCCGCGGCCAGCGAATGAGGAAGCGGCATTGGGACGAGCCCGCCAATCGCAAGAGCGCCCTGGAGGAGGGTGGGAGCAGGCACGATCCCTGGTGTGGGCCGCGCGACGGGTGCTGGGTAACGTAGTGTGTAGTCCAGCATGGCGGCTGAACGCCTGAGCTCGGGAGCGGCCCGTGGCGACACCCTGCTTCAGACCCGCTTCGGATCCTTCTGCTTAGAGAAGCGCAAACCGGTTGTGGGAGAAAACTGCCTGTTTGGTGTTCTTCGTGAAGGGTCTGAGGTGGCAGTCAGGCCCCACTGGACTTTATTTGTCTCTAGGGGCAGAGATTTGTGTCTGCAAATCCTGGGGTAAATAATGCTGCCCTTTGGCGTGAAATCTTATTAAAGCAACTTTTCAACACCCAAACCCTTCTGCAGTAGAAGGGAGTGGAATAAGAGGCATGAGATGAAGTGCTGCAGGCCCATTTGGATCCCTGTATGGGCACTCACCTCACTATTGCAGTGCCTTGTGGCCAGGGGAAGCCCTGGCAGTCACTGACCCATCCTCACTGCTCTACGCTGTAGCACACACAGGTTTCCGTGCAAAGCAAAGCAAAACTGGGCCAGAATTTAAGATGCATACCTCAGTATTATTCTTGTGGGTGCCTGCTATGGAGGAATTGTGCTTATGTCCTACACAATATTCATAAGAGGTCAGTATATCCCTCTGTACTGGGCACTTGTGAGGGTGCATCTCAAATCTTGTGTTCAGTTCTGGGTCCCCCAGTATAAAAGCGACACTGAGGTGCTGGAGCGGGTCCAGAGAAGGGCAAAGGAGCTGGTACAGTGACTGGAGCACAAGTGTGATAGGAAATGGCCGAGGGACCTGAGGGGTTCAGTCTGGAGAAGGCTCAGGGGGGACCTTACTGCTCCCTACAACTGCGTGA